TGGGCAGCCTGTTCCAATGCCCTATCACTCTTTTGGTGAAAAATTCTTTCCTAATGTTCAATCTAAACCTACCCTGTTGGAGCTTGAAGCTATTAATGGCTTGAAGCCATTTTAACCAACCTCCTTGACAGGTCTGGTGACTGGCAGACATAATTCCCTGAACAGGTTTGAGGTTTTTTTTTTTCCCTTAAAAATAATCCTTTATAATGAAAAATGCACCTTTAAATTTGTGCGTTAGTATTCCCTAAATACAAAATAGTTTTTTCTTTGCTCATTATGTATTAGTATTTCCTCTGCCTGGAAACAGGAACCACGAGCACTTTGACACAGAGAGTTACAGGATGTAAAATTCTTTCCTAATGTTCAATCTAAACCTACCCTGTTGGAGCTTGAAGCTATTAATGGCTTGAAGCCATTTTAACCAACCTCCTTGACAGGTCTGGTGACTGGCAGACATAATTCCCTGAACAGGTTTGAGGTTTTTTTTTTTCCCTTAAAAATAATCCTTTATAATGAAAAATGCACCTTTAAATTTGTGCGTTAGTATTCCCTAAATACAAAATAGTTTTTTCTTTGCTCATTATGTATTAGTATTTCCTCTGCCTGGAAACAGGAACCACGAGCACTTTGACACAGAGAGTTACAGGATGTTTCTCCGCAGCGTCAGACAGCTGTGTTGAATCGGGCCCTCACCCTGTCCTTAGTGCCAACACGCTGCCAATTTAACACGTGTGGCCTTGATAATTTAAAACAGTGCAGTGAGAGCACAGGGGCCAAACGGCTTTTGGCCTGAGCCCAAACCCCTCTGGGCCTCCCTGCCCGTACAAGGGATGAAAATACACACAAGGAGTCGACAGCTTTGCTGGAGATCCCTCGTCCTCCCTCGTGGCTGCCACCTTTGACACAGCACAGGGGAGATAAGACATAAAGTAAGAGAAGATGTTGTGGGTGTTGGTGGATGAGAAGCTCAGCGTTCACCAGCAATGTGCGCTTGCAGTCCAGAAAGCCAACTGCATCCTGGGTTGCATCAAAAAGAAGTGTGGCCAGCAGGGCCAGGAAGGTGATTCTACCCCTTTCCTCTGCTCTGGTGAGACCCTGCCTGGAGCACTGTGTTCAGTTCTGGAGCCCCCAACATAAGAAGGACATTGACGTGTTGAAACGGGTTCAGAGGAGGCCACGAAGATGATCAGAGGGATAGAGCGCCTCTGCTGTGAGGACAGGCTGAGAGAGCTGGGGTTGTTCAGCCTGGAGAGAAGAGAAGGCTCTGGGGAGACCTTAGTACCTGAAGGGCACCTACAGGAGAGATGGGGAGGGACTCTTTATCAGGGACTGCAGTGATAGGACAAGAGGTGATGGTTTTAAACTGATAAGAGGGGAGATTTAGATTAGATATTAGGAAGAAATTCTTTCCTGTGAGGGTGGTGAGACACTGGAACAGGTTGCCCAGAGAAGCTGTGGGTGCTCCATCCCTGGAGGGGTTCAAGGCCAGGCGGGGCTTTGAGCAACCTGGTCTGGTGGGAGGTGTCCCTGCCCATGGCAGGGGGGTTGGAAATCAATGATATTTTAAGCTCCCTTCCAATTCTAACCATTCTATGCTTCTAAAATAAGATTTGTTTAATCTTTCATGTGCTCAGCTCCCATGCCAGATGAGCAAACGTGAAAATAAACCGCCAGGGGGTACCAGCTGGGAGAGGAGTTGCTGTGTCCGGGGTGAGTGTGTGGGGACGTGGAGCTGTCAGTCCCTACATCCCACCCTGCTGGAGGCACTGGGGGAAGAAGCCTCTCTAGTGTGACACCCAGCCAGCTGCTGGTGTCATCTCGTAGGGCCACCAAGGATGAGGTTCTCGCCTTACTGTGCCAGGCTGCTGCTGCAGGTGGAGGTAGGCAGTCATAGATCAGCTTCAAGGTCCCTTCCAACCTGAACCATTCTATGGTTCTATGATTCTACGTAGGACATTAAGATACGTAAAGTCACTGACAACCCATTAATGAGCAGCATTCTGGATCAAGCCCCTTGCAAGCAATGTTCCACCTGAGGACACCTAAAAGCATCCTTCTCCTTGTGCCCCAATCTGGTACTGACATGCCCAGCTTCAGCTCCCAGCTGAACTCATTTTTCCTCTGACTGTGTTAACTTTCCTACCTAAAGTGAATTTTAGCTGTGTTACCACCATGGACCTTCTGACTTTGGTGGTACCAAGGAACCCTTAACTATTAGGATTCTGTCATTCTCCTATTCTGCTCTAAAACTCATGTGCGTTTCTAAGATTCTGGTATTCTTGTTGGATAAAAATCATATTTAATTGAAAATAAATCAGTATTTCCCCAGTTCTAATACGATGCCTCTGGTGGTTCTTATGGGGTGAAAAGCAAAGGAATGAAAGAGAATGAATTGAGATGAAATTGGCCAAAAGGCAGGAAATAGGTGAACTGGAAGAGTCCAGAAAATTCAACGTATTTTGCTATGGAAAAGAAGTTACTAGTGGGGACTAGGCAGGGACAGGGTGGGTAGAGGGTGTAATTTTGTGGTGAGAATTGTCATTTGCAGATGTAGCTTGGAGCAAAGCCACACAAGGATGGTGGCTGTTCCCAAGTACGGAGAACTTTTTGGCAAATTTTTGCTCTTGGCCCCAAACAGCAGCTACAATTTACCTCGTCTTTCAAGCAATGTTTTCAGCTGTAACCACAGCAGGGAGACAGTGACATCTGGAAGTGAATCCTGAGACAGAGGATCATCAGGCTGAGAGGGTTCTGGTGCTCTGTTCCTTCCAGCGAGGTCCCTGGGCCGAGATCAGCATTTGTCCCTTCTGTGGGGTTGAGGGGAATGTTCACATCATTTGTGAGAGGCATCTGACCGGTTTCCCTTGGTTCTCTGTGCAATCAATAGTGAGGAGTAGGCAGCCTGGAGAGGCAGGGGAGCAGGTGTCTCACTCAGACCCTGTGACCAGCCCTGCGGAGGAGAGCACAGCTCTATTGATTGTGCAGGGAGCCTTGCAGGATTAAGCATCTAAATTGGGAACTAAGGTTAGATACTCTGAGGACAGGCATGAATACCGCCTGTTTTTTCCAAGCCTGTTATAACCTCCCGTATAATTCATAATTCTGATCGTTGCTCACATCTTAAGACTCTCATAATTGGAAGGCACGTATGAAAAATCTAATGCTAAAGCCAGGGAAATAGGAAACACTTGAAAACCTCTGAGGGAGTGAGGACAATGAAGGATGGAAAGTGAGTGCGGGGAGGATAAGAGAAAAAGAGCAAATAAGGAGGAACGGGGATGTCTAGTGACAAAAGGGCTTTGATCGTTCACCTGGTTCTTAAGCTAAAGAGAAAGTAATTCGCATCCTTTACATGGAGCAGTGCTGCCACACAGTGACTGAGGAAATCCTCCGAGCAGTAATCACAAAAAATTGCAGCCGTAATGACACCGGGAGCTTTACACCTGCTGTCAAAGTCACACAGGACACTGGGTTCTTTGCCAAAAGAATGCGAAATGTAATTACGGGAGGCAGCGTTATTGCCAGGTAACGACCTAATCTGAGCCTGACTGGAGCGGGAGGTGTTGAGCTTGGTTCACAGGTTATTACAAAATATCGTTGCCAGGTAACGACCTAATCTGAGCCTGACACAGGTTATTACAAAATATCAGTGGCAGTCACAGAGTTAAAACTTGATTTAACTCCTTTCTTTTAGTAGAACAATCAATAATTTTTTAAAAATCACTTTTTCTTCGAGTACAGACTAAGCTTTTCTGATACTCGTACACATTAATCCTATAAATCATTTTGAGTTGCTAGATTTTGAGTTAATAAAAAGAAGACCCCATTCTAAAGAGAGGACTGATATATATGGCCGTCTGTGACCAACATAAATCAGAATAATATATTTTCAACTTAAAAAACAAAACCAAACCAAAACCAAAACAAGTCTAGGTCCCAAAGAAGGTTAGGTAGCAAAGTCATATGAATTCCATGAGTGGGCAAAGAGCCCTTAGCTTCATGTCATTAGAAAATCCCAGCCCAAGTGAGTATTGTCCTGAAGTTTTTGTGCTATTTCTATCTTAACACCAGTACAGGAGACAGTGAAAACTGGTATATAGACAGCACCCATCATGTAGTGCTGGGACTCAGTTCCGAGTCCTTTAGCTAAAACCAAACAAATAAACAAAATCTGTTTTCATCTTTTCTTTAGGCAGTCCCAGAGGATTCCACACCAGAGAAACCGTAATGCACTAATCTATTTCTTTGCTCACAGAATTCACGAAGAGAGGATTCCACACCAGAGAAACCGTAATGCGCTAATCTATCTCTTTGCTCGCAGAATTTACAAACAGGAAAATAAATGTTTTTCCTTGGCCTGGGTGCAAGAACAGGACCCTGCTCTCCCTGTTATCCTGGAACTGTGACGCACCTGACCAGAATTAAGCAGTCCTCGAGTTTTAAAGGTGCTGAACCCCTCTGGCTCCCAGTGGGATTTGAATGCCTTCAGCAGTGCTGAAAATCAGGTCACAAGATCCTCTGGGAATGCCAGTGCTTCAGAAGAAATAATTTGCATGAAACTCAGCCAGGGATGTGCCTGCCTCACCTTTCATACAATAGTCCCAATTTTTCATCACAGGAATTAATAGGTAGAAGAGCCTTTACATATATATTTACTTATTTACATATGTGTTTTACATTTCAGCCTCATCCCAACAAGGTCTGCCTTTGCCCTGGAATAATACTGACCATTGGGGTGAAGCAGATACTCCTACAAGATGTCCCATGTGGGCTCACTGAAAGCCAAGGAAATAAAGACCTAAATAAATACTTGTGCTTCATAAAGAAGGGGATCCTGTATATTATCTTTGCTGTCCATGCATGCTATCTAGCAATGGAGACCCCAGAGTGCTTTATAGCAGCTCAGCACACTGGAATTTCAAAACATTTTTTACCTAGTACAGCACGATACCCTGAAAGTAATGATCTAATGATGAAGCTGCACTATGTCCCTTATCATCTCCCTTTTTTATTTTATATGAAGGATCAATACGGCTAAAGGTTAGAAAAGCCCCGTCTGGTACTTGCAATCCTGGCTCCCAGTTGTCTCCAGTTGGAGGTGTGAGCTCAGCCGTAACCACAACGCTGCTAGCAAGTGCTATAAAAAGAAAAGCTGTCTGAAATTGGAAAAGTTTTTTCCAACACTTTCTCAGAGAAGGCAGCAGCAGCAGGTCTGTTTAGTGCATCAGGGAAACTGCAGCCAAAAAAAAGTCTGTAATGTGGGTGGGTGTGAAAGGAAACATGAGGTTGTCAATCAAAGTGAAAAAGGAACAGAATTTCCAGGGAGCTGGAAACACTATATTAAAAAGAAGCTTTTTGGAGAAGACCAAAAAGAAAAAAAGTTCTTTCCTTGGAGATGGACAGAAGAAGGACAACGAGACAGAGAAAGAGAAGGAACTGGAAGAGAAAAAAAAAAAAAAAAGATTGTAATTTGCAAGCCCAGTATGAAAGAGGTCACTGGTCAGAGTTACAGGGGACTGGGAACTCCTCCCAAAGCTGGCACACATGTTGTGTTCTCTGTGTGTTGGCCTTTGCCACACCAAGCATGGACTTTGAAAACTGCTGTGTTCTGTTTAAGATGATCTGCTTTCTTCTAAATGGGCAATTATTTTTTTTTTTTTGCTACAGATTCCTGCCACATATTAAAATTAAATTTTAGAAGAACTTTTTCAGTGAAGGACCATGAGGTCCAAACAACCATGAGAAAATGAAACTGGGCAAGTGGGGAAGGCCCAGTGCAGACCTGGCTCTCAGGCCTATCAGTCTCCTTCAACACTTTAAAATGTACATAAACCCACTTCTGCGATTACTGTAGAGCCACAAAGCCCAGTGATCTCACAGGGCATTCTTTTCGGCAATACAAAAACCATAAGCAGAAAGGGCATCCCCACACTAAGCCATTACTACCTGTAAATACCTTATTAAACACAAAATTCAAGTGGTTATTTTATGAGGCTGATGCTCAGAACTGAAAAGCCACAATTGCCGCTACAGTCAGAAGAAGCTGCCGGGGTTCAACAGACACTGAAAACTAGAGACACATTTGGGAACCTACAAGGACTTTGTGAGAACTCATAAGAACAGGGAGATCAGGAAGCAGAAACACAGATTTACATTTACAAAGAACATACACTGGACATATATCGATTTTATTTTAGGGTACTTATTGCTGTGCCAGAAAATGGAGCGCAAACAATGAAGATATGCAAGTGCATAAAACTCTTCAATTACTAATACTTCCCCCTCACGTTTAGGAAAGGATACGTGATGAGTAAGTGTGATAAGGAAGAGCAGGCAACCATGATTGGGGCCGCCTGTATGTCCTGGAACAACGCTGCTTGGTCTTTGGGCCCGTCGGCGTCTCGTGGCAGATGAGATGTTCACTAACTGCCTCATCCGCACGCAGAGCTGCTGCTTCCCCAGGAGACTGCCTGAGCCAGGTGTGAAGAAAGAGAGGTCATCGCTCCTGCGAGTAAACAGAGAACAGAAGAACGAAAGAACTGTGGGAGATTATATTGCAAAGTGACATTTTCCAGAAGAACTATTTTGAGTAATCGGGGACTGCGGAGAGTTGGGCATCTCTCAAACTAGAAGGATTTACTATGCGTCGTACCAGTAGCGGACAAAGGAGAGCTTTGGGGTTCAACAGAAACACAGATGGAGAAGGACATACCGCCCCAGATCTATCCCTGTGATAACCTAGGAAAGACACCTTATAACCCCTTTTAGAAAACTCCTGAGCTCCCTTTTTAAAATACCCCAGATTTTATGCATGTGGCTTCTATGGCAGGGCTGTTCCACAGTCTCACTCCTCTGGTGGCACTAGCTGCTCCTTCATTTCTGACTCAAAGGTGCTAACGTTCAGCGAATACCCATTTGTTAAAGTGTCAGCATAGTTCTCCATCTCACATAGCTTTCTGCCTTCTCAGATTGCAAAACGCCTGTCCTCTAGAGACAGTGGGAACAAGTCCTTTTGTACTTGTTTTGCTAGACTCAAGGAAAAATACTCGTCTCATCCCCCACAACAGTCTCCATTCTATGCTGCATCTGTTCTCTCTGCCCCTCATTTAGTATGTCTTCTTGAACCTGGATGACCAGAAGCAATAATCAAGATGAGCTGTGAACGTACGTGTGTACCTGTGTGCCTAAAATACTTTTAGTTTTAAAATCGCATTTGAATTTTAAAATCGCCTCTTAAAATCATATTTGTCTTTCAGTTTCTTGGATGCATCATACAGATTAGAGACTGACTCTGTGGAACCAATCAAGATATGCAAGGTCTTCTCCACAACCATTTCCAAATTATGAACTCCCACTGAATAAATGATGATCTTATTAGTTCCCAAGTATATGATCCCAAGCCCTGTAATACTGAATTTCATCCCATGCCAGTTACTCTCAGAGGTGGGGTTGGAATTAGATGATCTTTAAGGTCCCTTCCAACTCTAACCATTCTACGATTCTATGATAACGGGAGGTCATCAACATGGGGAGCCATTCTGTTGATGATACAGCCCAATTTAGTGTCACTAGCACAGTCCTAATCTCCATCCCATGGTCCTAGATGCAAATGCTCAGTGGATCTAAAGAATTTACAGCCAACATTTTTTGTACCACTCCAGTGTCCCTAAGATACTTATTAATGAATGACACCTTCCCACCCAGGGCTTCCACAGGAGGAGGTCTCAGGAGGTCTCCTTGGTTCCACAGCCAACGTGTTGGGAATGGTTTGGGTTGGAAGTGACCTTAAAGACCATTCAGTTCCAACCCCCCTGGCATGGGCAGGGACACCTCCCACCAGACCAGGTTGCTCAAAGCCCCATCCAGCCTGGCCTTGAACCCCTCCAGGGATGGGGCAGCCACAGCTTCTCTGGGCAACCTGTGCCAGTGCCTCACCACCCTCACAGGAAGGAATTTCTTCCTAATATCCTCATCTAGGGGAATCGTGTGGGCTCGGGGCGGTCTGTCAGGCCTGGTGCTGTCCCCTGGCAGCACTCTCCCCCGCGGGAGCCGAGGCGGGCCGTGCTGAGGGGAGCACCGCCCCGCCCCCGCCGCAGGCCCCGGCCCCGACCCGGGGGAGGCCGCCGGCCTAGAGGTCGGTAGCGAGCCGTCCTCCGCGCCTTGCCGGGCAGCCATGGCCGCCGCCGCCGCCGGG